GGCACAGCCTCTCCCCTTGTGTGTACATCCCACCTGAGCACACACATCCCACCTGAACCTCTCACATCCCCTTTCTTGTTTTTTATATTTTATTTGAACCTCCCACATTGCCCTTTCCTTGTCTCCCATCCCACCTGAACCTCCCACATCCCCTTCCTGGTTTGTACATCTATCCTGAACGTTCACATCCCCCTTCCTGGTTTTTATATTTTATTTAAACTTCCCACATTGCCCTTTTTTTGTTTCTACATCCCACCTGAATGTCCATATCCCCTTTCCTTGTCTCCCATCCCACCTGAATGTCCACATCCCATTTCTGGTTTTTATATTTTATTTCAACCTCCCACATTGCCCTTTCCTTGTCTCCCCATCCCACCTGAGCACCCACAGCTCTCCCCCCTTCCCTCTGCACCCCACCCACCCTCTAATCCTTCTGTTTATACTTTTGTTAATTTAGGCTCACCCCCACTTTTTCAATATCCTTCACCCCAAACACAGACACTTTTAAAGGCAATGGAGAGCTGGAAGGATCCTGGAAGGATTTACAGACCACACACATTGATTTGCTGCTTCCAGACTGATAAGTGTCCTGTGCAACCAGAAATTGTAATTTCTTTCAAGCATTAATTGATAACAGCAAGTTCTTGCTCTGCTTGAATGACTCCTTAAACCACTCTTCATTTTGATAAAATGTTAGATGTCTAGAAATTAAGTGCTAATGTCTAGAAATTAAGTTGTAACCTAATTTCTAGACACCTTTACAAGTAGGCAGACTCAGAAACAGCGGCTGTACTGTGAGGAGACAAAGTAAATGAAGCAGGAAATGTGTGTTTTGTATAATTAGAATGACAGCTCTCCCCTTTACTACCTGCAAATGCTCTCAGGGGTGAGTGGCTTCAGAACAGGAGCAGTAAACTGAGCACTCTTTTGCAGGTTCTTTCTGCTGGGAACACCTCATATCTCTACTCAACCCACTTCTTACTTAAATAACCACACAAGTATATCATGCCTGGAGGAAAACTTAGTGCATGTTGAGATTTGCATGAATTTCATGGGAAAAAAAGGAGTGAAAAAGGGAGGAGAGTGAATGAGAAATGGGTGCATTTGCCTTCAGGACAGAGTTTCCAATTTTTCTCTTTGGTTATGCAATAGAAGACCTTCTCTTTTTTTCTTTATTTTTTTCTTGGGCTTTAAAATGGTGCTTTGTCACTGCTTCCAGTCTCTTCAGCAAAAATCTGTGGGCATCAGCATGGACTTCACAGGAGGGCAATAAAGCAGCTACTTTCCACTTTTAATGACACACACAGCCCCAAAAGAAACCCACTCCTGCCCAAACACCCCCAGCCTATGCACCCATGTTTGCAGTTCAGCAATCCTGAATTTTACTCCCTAACAAGGGCACAAGTGCCATCTGTCTGCCAGTCAGACAAAGGTATTTATTCTTTGAAAGCTCTGATTAGTGTCAGGGCATTGGTGTGGAGAGAAGGGAAAAGGAGTGTGAATATGCAGTTTATTTAGTATTTTTTATCTGCCAACCAGTGTAACAGACTGAGAGCCATTCTTTTTTGTATTTTCCTTGGCAGAGCAAGGATCTAGGGTTAGTACTTCCCCATCCTTTCCTGTAATGAGCTGATTTGATTTTTTAGAGGTTTTTTTTTTTAATTGTAAAGCCCTCCTTTCCTCCAGTGTCACTCCCTTGACAGTTCTCCTGTGCCTGACTCACATGCAGGCAGCACAGAGGTTTATTTTGTGCATGAGAAAGGACAATCACCCTTGAGAAAACTCTGCTCACAGCCTCACTTCCACAATTCCCAAAAGCCATGAAATGTGGCCCTTCTTCATTCTCTTATCACTGAGCATCCCCCTGTTGGCTTTTTGCATGTTGCTGCACATAACAACACACAGAGTGTGTGAGTCCAAAATTTGGGTTTAATTTAGGGCAAATTCACACACTGAGCAGCAACACTTTTCCCTGCCCAGGTAACAGAGCACAGATTCTGTGCAATAATCACTAATTAGTGAGCAGCCCTGCAGCCAGCCACAGCCTGCCATCAGTTCAGCACAGCAGGCTCAGCTTGTCTCCTCTCACATATTTTTAGCTGTATTTCCAATGTGCCTTGTGCCCCTCAGGCCCCTTTTTCCCTTTTTCCTCCCCAGTTTTGAATCTCTTTCTTGATGCTGGGAATGTTGGGGCTGTTCAGCCTGGGGAGGAGAAATTGTGTGGAGACCTCAGAGCAGCTTCCAGTGCCTGAAGGGGCTGCAGGGAAACCAGAGAGGGACAATTCATCAGGAACTGGAGTGACAGGAGAAGGGGGAATGGGTACAACTGAAAGAGAGTAGGTTTAGTTTAGATATTAGGACAGAATTCTTCCCTAAGAGGGTGGGGAGGCCCTGGCACAGAGCAGCTGTGGCTGCCCCTGGATCCCTGGAAGTGCCCAAGGCCAGGTTGGATGAAGCTTTGAGCAACCTGGGATAGTGGAAAATGTCCCTGCCCATGGCAGGGGTGGGACTGGATGATTTTGAGAGTCCCTTTCAGCCCAAACCATTCCATGATAACCAGGAACAGGACAAGAGGCCCCAGGCTGTGCCAGGGGAGGCTCAAGTTGGACATCAGGAAGAATTCCTTTCCAGAAAGGGTGCTCAGGAATTGGAAGAGGCTGCCCAGGAAGGTTTGGAGGTGTCCAAGGAGTACCTGGAGGTGGCACTCAGTGCTCTGGGCTGGGGACAAGGTGGGGATGGGTCACAGTTTGGACTTGATGATCTCAGAGGTCTTTCCCAGCCTAAAAAGATTCTGATTTTACATTCACTGAACATGAAAGACAAAAGTCCTGGAGACTGTGAGGTTCCCTTGAGCTCGGGACTGGGAGAGGCACTGACATGAGCACGTGGCTTGAGGGGAAGGCAGGCAGAGCTCCTGCTCTCATTTACAACATCCTGCACTGAGGGAAGGCAGGCAGAGCTCCTGCTCTCATTTACAACACCCTGCACTGAGGGGAGGCAGGCAGAGCTCCTGCTCTCATTTACAACACCCTGCACTGAGGGGAGGCAGGCAGAGCTCCTGCTCTCATTTACAACACCCTGCACTGAGGGGAGGCAGGCAGAGCTCCTGCTCTCATTTACAACACCCTGCACCTCAATCCCCACACCACAACTCTGCCAAACGAGCCAGAGCTTGTGCTGCCTCCCTCCTTCAGCCTCCATCACCCAGCACAGCTCACCTAAGGCTCAGGTGGGCAGCAGGAGGGGGGGAATCTGCAGAAAATGAGCATCACTTGTTTCTTAATTTTAACTCATCATTCTGCCATTACTACTTTTTTTTTTTCTTTTTACCTTAAAAACCTTCTAGAATCGAAACCTGCAAGTAAACAGAAAAACACAGGAAAGCACTCAAGTGACAGCAAAGATATTAGGACTGAAAATTTCAACTTTAAATGAAATAAACCTCCAAATCCAGTAGTTGTTCTTGCTTTTCATATCAGCTGCTCTACAGATGTTGCACACAATAATCAGCTTTTCAAAAGTGTAAGGCACTGTACCTGGCCAACACAGCTCCTGGATAAAACAGGAATACAAGGGCATTACACCCCAAATGTTGATGGAATTCTTACTCTGGGGGTGACACTGAAATCTCCAGGACACTTTCTGCTCAGATATTGGGAATTTAGCAAGCTTGGACTCTTTGGATGAGGGATCCAATGTTTCAGCCATCATCAGCTGCTCAGGAGAGCTGGAAAGGGATTTTTTATAAAGGTATGTTGTGACAGGACATGGGGGAATGGCTCCAAACTGAAAGAAAGTAGGGTTAGGTTTGGTATTAAGAAGAAATTCTTCTCTTGGAGGGGCACAGGGTGCCCAGAGCAGCTGTGGCTGCCCCTGGATCCCTGGCAGTGCCCAAGGCCAGGTTGGACATTGGGACAGTGGGAGGTGTCCCTGCCATGGCAGGGGTGGCATTGGATGATTTTTAAGGCCCTTTCCAACCAGAGCCATTCTGTGATTTCAGATTCCACTGCAGAATCCTGTCTGAAGTGAGATGGCAGCAGTACAGATGCAGAACAGCCCTGCAGCACCCAGGAGGGACAATAAATGCAGAAAAGCTTCCTCAAAGCATCCTAGGGCAAGAAACATCCTTTCCAACCATGGCTGCACTGACTTTTTAGCACTTCCTGCCATGAACAGTGCAAAATCAATACTCAAGACTATCAAGTCAAGTTGATGAGAAACATGATAGAAATATTTTTTTTTTTCCTTTATCCTGCTGCCACCATGAGACTTTGGGTTTGCTGTAGGGCAAAAGCCCCTATTTGGAAAGAAACCTTGATAATTTCAGAGATTCAAGTCATTTAGCTGCATATTTGTCTCCAAAAGTGCTTTTCAAGCAGAGCTTTGCTGTGCAGAGTGAGGATGAGCAGATCCTCCTCCAATATTCATCTCCTTTTACAGATGAGGCCAACCATGAGAGGGCCAAGAATACAAAGGTTAAAGAGTTACAAAAAGTTTCCAAATGTAAACATCTGGTTTACACCCAAATCAATAATAAATGTCAGGCCAAAAGGAATCAGGAGGGACATTATTATTCCTGTAAACAGCACCAAGGAAATCTCATCACCAGCCAAGATTTCACAAAGGTATTTGTGAATATTTGCATGGGGTACCTAGAGTTTGGATATAGCTGTCACTTGGATGTGTGGTGTTTATTCAATTCCTGGTTTTCCAGATGAGAAATTGAGACATCTTTGTGTATGCAGAACAAATCCCTGACAACCTGGCAGGGAATTCAGTTCTTGAAATAAATCCAGCTGTTACCTGGATGTTAACTTCAGGCAATCTCTGGAACAATAAAAGACTACAGAAATGTGGCTGGTTAGACTGGCAGGAGACTGGGTGGTGGGTTTCTGCAAAAATACTCATTTTTCATAGTTTAAAAAATAAAATTAGCTTTCTAAAGCATAGTAACACTTGATACAGTCAATTCTCCTGAGAACTCAGCACAGAAACCATGAAATATTGAATCTCTTTTGCTTTCTCTTATTACCAATAACAAGCTACAGAATAAATATTTTAGAATGTTACTCCATGTTTCTCTAATTTGTGATGTACAAAGTTCCATGGGAATGAGAGTTAATCTTGTTGCTTTTGGGGCAAATCTAAGAGATTTGATGGAAAAAAAAAGTTTGATATCTTAATTAAGGAACAGTAAAGAATAACACTGGCAGAGAAAGGATTCTGTACCTTGATGCTCCTTTACTTCAGAGCCCAGTGTGCCACAGACAGCATTCAATTAAATAATTTTAGCAATAAACAATGACAATACACAGAACACCACACAACATCATTCCTTTGGCTCAAAGTAATTCCAGTTTGTGACTGAATAGCTGTTATGCAAAACAAGAAAGCCTTCACATCCTACAGCTGAAAAGGCAGGGAACAAATTGGCAGAGGAAATTTAGATTGCACATCCCTTGTGGAGTGGTTTTATTTCTTGTGCAGCTTGCAAACAGCATCAGTACAACTTTGGTATTCACCTGGAAAAGGCTTAGTTGGGAGAGCAGTCACTGCTTGTCCAAGGGAAGCTCTGTCTGAAAAGGCAGCAATTTCCAACATCTCCAAACAAAACCATTTGAAACAAAAAGCAAACAGAGTAATTTGCTCTGGATTTTTTTTCCCCGTGGTGCAGCACACCCAAGATACAGTTGTTTTCTCATATGGATGTTAATAACAGGAGTAATAATAAAATCATGCTGGGAGACGATGATGAGGCAGCACAGCAAGGGCCGTGGAGAAACTCACAATCCTGGCTCAAAGGAGAGCTCTGGGAAGATCATATTCAGAGTTTTCTACTCTAAGCCTTTCCAGTGGTTTTATTTTCCTCTCCTGAACATTATTTAAGGTAATTTTTACAGGAAAAACAATCAGCCACTGGAACAACCTTCCCAGAGTTGTGTCACTGGAGGTGTAAAAGATGCAATTAGACAGGTTAATGATGATTTTATGATTTTATCACCTCACCTGTGCTCCCTTTCCCCAGAAAAAGGCTGGATCAGGTTCATTCATCTTTGGAGGTGCCTTCCACCCTGGGCTGTTCTGTGATTTTGGGGATTCTAAGAGATTGAAGAGGGACATTTCTATGTGAAAACCAGCATGCAAGCACTTCCTGTGGGATCATTCCTTCTAGAATGGAAGAAATCAACCTTCCCTGCCAGAAAGGGAAGATCCCACTGCCTGGATGAGGTCACTGAGGCCAGGTAGAATGGGAGCAATGCCAAACCCCAGAAGAGTACAGAAAACCAGGGAATTACATTGGAATAGAGATTTTGTGAAGCCAGAGAGGTCTCTAAAGGTTGATTTCCTCTGAGTGCAACTCTTATCAAGCAGGAAATTATGTGTTAAAATGATGCAGGTTGATTAAATGCAGCACAAATGCCACTGTCAGTAGTATCAATATAGAGAAGATGGACTCTGCTAAGGTAAAAAACCTCTTCCTCCCCAATGAAAAGCCTAATCACCATTGACATGTGTCTCAGAAAAGCTTTGATTGTGTAAAAATTCTATATTAACACAACAACTCAAGTGTTGTGGTAATAGGAGTTCTCTTTCACAGAATCTCATGAGTTCTCCATTTCACAGAATCACAGAATTTGCCTTCCTCCCCTTTTTTCCCCTTTTTCCACCTGACAAAAGATAATGTGCCTTTACCAATTAGGCAAACACAGGGGGAAAAAGAAGTTTCAAGTACATAAACAATGTATTTCATAAATAAAACCTGGCTTCCTCTTGCCCATTGGTTTGGTGTGAAACAGAAGCATTTTTGGCAGGACAGTTGAGGAGAAACTGAACTAGCTCAAGCCAGTGGTGAAAGAATCCAGGAATGGTTCTCAGGATATTGGGAGGCTGAAAAATTACAGGATCTCACAGTATTTGTGTGAGAATTACCTAAGGAAGACAGAATGGAACAGGGAATGAAAAATTCTCTTTCCCACAGTGATAAAAGGTACCTTTCTTTCTGATCTGCATCCTTGTCCCATCAAATACTGCTCCCTCCCATGCAGGTATTTTACAGACCTGTTGACATTTAATCAAAAGTAGTTCTGCTCCTCTGACACACAAATTCTGTCACGAGAAACCCCTTTGCTATCCCTGTCCTGCAGCTTTACACAAAGCCCCAGTCTCTGGACACAGCCATGGCACCAAGAAAAGCACTGGAGGTTAATTTTAATATCCAGACATTTATACTTTGGGAGAATTTGTTGTAGAGATTGTAAGGCAACCTTTAAGGGTCAAGTAGTCCATGTTAATAGAGACTTTCAAAGCTGAAGTCGTTCCTACTCATACTTCTGCTAAAACATAGAATTTTTCATAAATACAATAAGCACAGACAGGATTTTTACAACCACCAACCCATCCTCACTGTCAGACACAGCAGCTGCTTTATCCTCAGGGAAAAATAAAACCCTCCAGCAGAGTTCTGTGGCTCAGTCTGCTGCCCCAAAGGACCTTGTTCCTCAGCCACAGCAGGGTTTGCCCTTTAGGATTTCAAGCAACAACATTTTATATATATATATATGTATATTATATATATATATATATATATATATATATTTAGTTTATTCCTTTTTGCTACCAGCTCATTTTCCCTGTGGGAATTACACTATCTTCCTATTCTTGACATGCAAAAGTCCAGACTGCACATCCATGGATGGAGAATGCAATGCAGGGGCTCTGACCCAGCCCAGGATTTGCATCCCCAGCAGTGATGCAAACCTCGCCCTTGATACACTGGGGCACACTGACTCCATGTGGCAGGACACAGAATATGCTTCAGACATTCCTTTTTCTTTTTCTTGCACTTCACACAACCATGTGTGTGGCTGTGAACTTTGGAAATAAATTTTGGGAACAGAAGGAACAGAATCCATATTTTTTTCCCATGACAAGTGGCGACATGGGGATGAAAGAATTCATGAATTGTGTTGGTAACAGAGTTTTTCACACAAATACTCACCAGGAACACACAGTAAAATACAAAGGCTATATATATATATATATGTATATATATATAAAAAGAATGCTTTCTCAAATGTTTATTACAGGATGAAATAAGTCTAATTGAAAAAAATTCACATCCTGAATTTCATCAAAGGGGACTGATTGCTCTTCAGGGCTATTAGCTAAAGGCAAGATTGAAAGAGGAGGTTTTAAAAATTACATAAAACTGTATCACATTCTTCTTTCAGTTTGTAATTGGTTTTGATTGAAACTTGACTAGAAGACCATAAAAATTTGCTTCAGCATTAGCTCTCTGGCTCAAGTAGCACTAGCACTGCCTGATGGGTACAGGGTTTTTCCCATGACTAAAATGGAAATAATTGGTAATATTTTCTTCCACACCACACTCATGCCCACCCCAAACCCCCAAATTCCACCTACTTTACTGATGTTGTTAGATACAAGACCTAAAGAAGATAAGAAACAAAGACAATTCCTGTTTTGCCCCTTTGTGTCTTCACATTTCAGTCTCTACCAGCTGACCACAAGGACATTCCACCCACTGTGAACAGATCTTCAGGTGCCACTTCCAGACTTGGAAAGAAGTGACATGGTATGGCTGAAAGGGTTTTTGTACATCACAAGTGCAGCAAAATTTAGGATTTCCCTGCTTTGGTTAAGGTGTGTGATGATGCACCTGCCAAATCTCAATCTTAGTGCACAACTGCAAGGGGGTGCTAAATTTGTGGTGAGATTTTTTTTCTTTCCCTTTCTGTTATTTTTTAAAGTGTAAGATCTTGGGACAATGTGTGAACCTCAGACCGGGGTGTTGCAGGGTGATCTGCCAATTTCAGCCTAAATTTCATTGTATAAACGACGAAATTCAATTCCCATCTCTGTTTGGTATCCAGCAAACAATCCTAGTAGAAATTTTCCAAAGGTCAGTGTGTTTTTCTGTGTCTCTGAGTACTGTCCACGGCCAAGTATAAATTAGTAGCTGTACATCTGCTGCTGCTGCTGCTCTGTCTGGACGGGCTGCTGGCCCGGCTGCTGCGGCGCGGCCGGCGCCGGGGGCTGCAGCACATCAGTCTGAGGCACCGACCTCCAGCTCAGGGGGTGCTGTTCTGTCATCTGGGGGGTCCCCAGGGGGGCAATGGAGTTCACCAGGGTGGTCAGGTTTATGAAATGGGCCACGGATTGGGGGTTGGGAGCCTCGGGCTGTGGCGGGAGCTGAATGTCGCTCTGGCGGTTGTGCAGCACGGCCGAGCCGCTGACGGTGTCGAAGGTGACGGTGAGGATGGAGCTGTCCAGCTGCAGCTGCCTCTCTGGGGGACACAGGTGGCCCACGGCCACGGGCTGCAGGTTGGTGAACTGGGTGCCAGCTGCCGTGGTGATGGGGGTCACGGTGATGTTGGTGAGTCCCACCGAGCTGGAGGGCGCTGAGACGTTCGGGTCGCTGAGCGTCACCACCACCTGAGGAGAAACACAAATGTTACTGAGTCACCACCACCTGAGGAGAAACACAGAGGTCACTGAGGGTCACCACCACCTGAGGAGAAACACAAATGTTACTGAGTCACCACCACCTGAGGACAAACACAAACATCACGGAGGGTCATCACCACCTGAGGACAAACACAAAGGTCACCACCAACTGAGGAGAAAGAAACACAAAAGTCACTGAAGGTCATCACCACCTGAGAAGAAACACAAAGGTCACCACCACCTGAGGACAAACATAAAGGTCACTGAGTGTCACCACCACCTGAGGAGAAACACAAAGGACACTGAGGGTCACCAGCACCGAGGAGAAACACAAAAATCACTGAGTGTCACCACCACCTGAGGAGAAACACAAAGGTCACTGAGGGTCACCAGCACCGAGGAGAAACACAAAGGTGACCTCAGCCTCAGTGACCTGATCACTCAGATTCTGAGTGACCACCAAATACCAGGGAAGTGCTGGTGGGCTCACATGGTGCCAGCAACAGAAGCCACACACAGATGGGAAAGTAGGAAATTTGGAATGTACCAACTTCCAAGTGTAGAAGTAAGATGGTGATGGGAGAGAGGGATATGGAACATTCAGAACAAACAGACCAATTAACTTTCACTCTTTTAATCCCAGCTTCAGCCAGTGATATCTTCAGCAAACAAACTGATGCCAACACAAGAGGGAATGAAACAAACATGAGGAGCTTATTGTTCCAATTTCTTGGGTTTTTAAACCCATCTTTGTGTTACCACAATTTATCCAACCAGCTCCAAATGTTCCAACCACTCTGTTGTGATGTTTTTTAACCAAAAGAAGTGTTATCCCTCTAAGCAATGCCACCATCACCCTCCTGCTGCAGCTCACCTGTTGGATGCTCTGTACAGCTGAATTGGTTTCATCTCCAACATTCCCTGTGAATTCACCTTCCTTCTCTGTGTATTCACTGAAGGCAGGGTCCTCAGGCACTTGAGCTTCCTCTTCCTCACCTGACTTTTGTTTTCTTTTCTGGCCACTTTTAGGAGCTTTTACGTGCTGCTTCCCTTCTGGTAGTTCACCTTGTTCCAAGGCTAATTCCGGCTGCAGCAACACATTTCCAAAAAAAACATCAAGTCCTTCTGCTTAGCGAGGTTCCAGGTAAGAGACAATCACCTGAAGCTGGTTTATTGTCAGTTCTCAAGCAAAGAAACAAACTTTAGCAAAATCCTGACTCCAGGGATTGAGACCTCACCCTGTAATTATGTTTTGCCTGTTATACAACCAAGCAGATCAGCAGCTTGTGGCTGCTTGGACATGTTCCACTGGGGCTGACTCTCTAAAAAAGCACATTCCTCACCCATCAGCCCACGCCCAGCTGTGTTCTGTACCCACAAAGTGCTGTCCCACCTCCCCCTGCAGCAGGCCTGGAGCTCACCTGAACAATCCCAATTGAAGAGGCATCAATGGTGGTTGTCTCTGGCAGCGGCTCTAAATCATCAATCCTCACTGAAAGAATCTGAACACAAAGAGGTGTCAGCTGCAGAACTGCAAAGCACAGTCAGACAGCACAGCATTTCCCTGATAAACCCCATCACCAAGCAAAAGTGATGCAATCTTAACACTTTACATGTAGTATTTAATACAAGGAGTTAAGTGCGGCTTTTTAAAATAACCTTTTGTCATATCACATTTTCCCTCTTGCTGGAATCCAGCAAAATTTAAACACAGTAAAAGAACATGTCCATTTTCATATTCTAGACAGAACATAACCCTCTGGGACATGATGAATTCCAACATGTTTGGAAAAAAAGAAATGTTAGCATTTCAATTTATAAACCTATCAACTGTGTCCCATTTCATTATTTTCAGATGAATCTACACATTTCAGCTCATCAAAGAATGGAGACAAATTGCCCTCTGGATTTCAGATATGTAGCTGCATTTTAAATCCCCAAATCAATAAACAAAGAATTTTGTTGACTACCTTCACAGTCATCATGATAAAACAGCAAAGCAATGCTAATGAAAAATTGGTAGTTAAAAAAAATTTTAAAAAGCCTCAAAAGGAACAGACAAGCCTTAATCAAACCTAAACAGGAAATGCTGAGAAGAAACAATATTTAGAACTCAGAAAAAACTCTGCTGGGGTCAGACAAAACATCCCTCTAATCCACATTCTCTCCAGTCAGCATTCATCTTTAATACTGAGAATAATTTTGCATCATCAGCAGATGCTGCCATCACCTCTCTATTCAGCACTTCTTTCAGATCACTTCTGAATACACAGAACACAATGGGGAAAAAAGAATCCATTATACTCACTAATGGAGGGAGACAAAACATTAAAAAACATACATTTAAGCCAGGGTAGAAAAAGAAAAGAGATTTAAATAATCAGAACTTCATTTTTAGGGACTGAGAATCAGATAGTGAAATGGGTGATTCAGTTAAGTCCATGTTTGACAGATACTACTTAAAAATGGACCCAAAAGAACAGAAAAAAAAAAAAAGAGGGAAAGACAGTAATTCCTTTCAAGTCACCAAAGGCCATAAACATAAAAAAAAAAAAGAATTTAAAAATTCCACAATCCAGCACTCAAACTCACTCACCTCTGGGTGTTTACGCCTCATGTGTCGACTCATGGACGCCCTGGTGGAAACCTTTGTGCCACACAGCTGACAGCTCTGGGCTTCCACCTTGTCATGGGTGAGCTGGATGTGCTTCTGCAGCATGTAATCAGTGACATACTTCTTATCACACACTGAACACGTCCACTGTTTTCCTACTGGTGGCAGAGGGAAGGAAGGAAACCCAATGGTTGAGCACCAGATTGCCAACACCTCAATGAGAGCAATAATTGATGTTTGGTAACAGGATGTGCAATGTTAGTTCCAAGACTGGCCAGTGTAAATCAAAATTAAGGAGTAAAATGAAGGTCTTTTTGCTGGATACTGCTTTTTAGAGGGTTTACCTGTATGAATCAACTTGTGAGTCTCCATTGTGTTTCTCTCACTGAATGTCTTGCCACAGAGCTCACACATGAAATCTTTGATTCCTGCATGAAAAGCAGATTTGGCACCTGTGAAAGCAGCCTGAAGGAATCTGGGACAATTCTGAGTTTTTTATTAGTAACATTAAAAAAATAAAAATCACAGACAAAAAAAAAAAGGCAGAAGCCTACCTTCACCAGCTATTTTTAGCTAAACCATTCCACTATAACCAGCAGAAAACAAATATCAGAGAAACTGATGTGGGAAGTAAAATTATGTTTTGGGAAATCACAACTTGAGCACTAATTTAAACCCCCAACACTGTAGAGTTACCCTAGACCAAGAACCTTTAAAAAAAGCAGAACTTGATACCAACTAATCTGCATTTATTTGTAGAACAAGGGGTCCTGGCTGAGGACAGGGCAAAATCTCACTTTTCAAAGAGCAGAACATGCACATTTTATCTGTTTTTGTCATACTGTCTGACTGCTCTAGGTAAGAATTCATTTGGGAAAGATTTAACTGATTCAGTGCAACTTCTGTCCATCTTTAGAGCCCTCACCTGTGTGTCTCTTGTAATGCTTCAGCATGTTGACTTTCTGTGCAAATTTTCTGTGACATTCCTTGCACTCGTACTCCTTAATCCCCTTGTGCAGCTTCATGTGGTGACGAAGTGCATGTTTGGTCTTCATTCCTGTCAGGCAGAAGGCACAGGACACTTAGTCCACCACTCCCACCTTCAGGGGAGAAATCAGGCTCATGGTGTTAACCAACAGCTCTATTTTATATTTGCTGCAAGTCCACAGTTGCATATTTTTAATTGTTTGATTGCATATTTTTATTGTTTATGCATTTAGCAATGCACCTCATCATTATTATTTTAATTCCAGGAAAAAAGCTCTGGAACATCTGAGTAATCACTGATAGAGAAACAGTAGGGACAAGCAAAGATAAAACATCATTAGAGGTGTCAGACTTACTACTGTTTTACTAAAATACCAGCTCAGACTAGTTCAAGTTGTAACATGAGAAATTAAAAATGTCAAAGTGACTTTGACTCTTAAGGCTCTTACAGAGAAAAATTATTTTTTAAGCCTGTAAAAAGCCTATAATGAAAAGATCAACTTACATTTCCTTTTGTGCTGCAAATCAGGCATTCCTCAACTTGACAGAAACAAATTCTACTAAAATCAGTGTTGTGTTATAGCCCATGAAACCAAACTGCACAAATTTAGGGCAGCTCATGTAACAACAATGCTCCTGATTAATCCATTTTCTACCTCTCAAAAATGCAGGATTTACAGCACTGGCATTACTCTCAGCATGGCAGTTGTTTTAATTCAGATATTCACCTGCTACTCAGTATCACAATGAATGGAAAACAAGGCAGCAGACATACCTTTGCCACACTCTGCACACAAGTATTCTCGGATATTATCATGGACTCGCATATGTTCTTTTAACATGTCTTTTCTAGCAAATGATTTGCCACATTGCTCACAAGCATGACTTTTTACACCTTGAAAATAAATTAAAAAGACAACATAAACAAAAAAAAAAGTTAATGAGTAATGTGCATCTCCTAAAAAGTAATTAAAGTGGTGAATTAGAGGGCAACAGTCCACCTATGCTGACAAGCACACCTTTCATGGATATTGTAGCCCAAATTAAATTAGAAGACTTTGAAGAGAGAGAAAAGCTGGCTTTTTGTGTGAGAAAAAACAGATAAAGCCTGAGGTAGGAGAAGACTGAATAGCATGAAATAGTAATGAGCTGTTAAAAATGATTTTGCAATAGCAGGTTTCAGCCTGTGTAATGGTGAGAAGGTGGCATGGAGAAGAATTTGGGGAAGAACAGAATACAGAATTAGGAGAATCCTGCAAAGACATTAACTAGGAATTTGGATTGTGTGTCCAGATCAAATCTCTTCATTAATACTACCTGCTTTGGAAAACTGGTTTACTCTAAAAGAACAATATTATATTTGTCTTGTAATGTAGAGTGAAAATCCTCTAGCACAAAAAAAAAAAAAAAAGGCAGGCACTGGCAACAGAAATTTCTCTTTGGTATTGATAATTATAAAGAAACAACATTTTTACCTGTATGTATAAGCTTATGTCTTTCCAGATTTCCTATACTGTTAAAAATCCTGCCACAGATTTCACATGGATGGATGTATCTGAAACCAAAGAGACCAAAAACTGTGATTCTTCTCTTGAGGCAGAGGTGATTCTCAGGCATCTCTGTCACTAAGTGTATTTCAATTTGTTAATATTAATTACTCCAAAAGTTCCTTGAAACACAAGTTTTTCTAAATGAGCCTTAAGAAACCTCCAAGTTGACTGCAAGCTTGGAGCAGTCTGGCATTGCTATACAATTTTTTCCCAAAACCATTTATTAAAATCACTGATTTACACTTTGCAAAGCCCAAACTGGGGGGCTGCTGACTCATCAACCATTGTGAAGCCAACCACCAGCCACACACATTTCAAGCTCATAATAAAACATTTTAACCTCAATTTCACAGTTATTTTAGCCCAGCCAAATTCCCTAAGAGCACCCCAGGTGGCAGAACCGTTAGAACTGCAAGCAGGCAGCTCTTTCCAGTGGAACAAGCCTTACTTTTGCACGTTGGGGTCGGGCAGGTTCTCCCTGTGGATGACCATGTGCGCGTGGTACGTGGCCTTGAGGGCGAAGCGCCGGTTGCAGATGCTGCAGCCATAACCCTTCTCCTTGTGCACGTCCATGATGTGCTTCAGGTACTCCTTCCCTCTGCCAAAGGTCAGCTGGGGAATGAACCAATAGTGAATGCAAGGGGGAAAAAAAGTCCTTGGGCACAAGCAAGTAACATTGAGCAGACATAAATATCCTGTGTAGCACTAAAATCCTGTGTGCCACTGGATGAAAAACCTGTGACAGCTGGGTTTAGGCCTCAAACTCTTTGGACACTACAAGCATGCTGCTACAGGGCATCAATTCACTCAATTTCTCTAGATGGAGATGGTGTCTCCACTTCTGCACAAGAAGAGGACCTTGAGTTGTTCATGCACTGAGGAATGGCCAGGTTTAACGTCCACCAGTTCACCATGAGTACTGTGTGAGCAGTTTTGGTCACCACAGTACAGGGATGATATTAAACTACTGGAGAGTGTCCACAGAGCTACAGAGATGGTGAAGGGTCTGCAGGGGAAGCTTTGGGAGAGCCACTGAGGGCACTTGGTCTGTTCAGCCTGGAAAAGAGACTGAGGAGAAACTTCACTGCAGTTACAACTTTTTGTGAGGGGAAGGCCCTGATCTGTGCTCTGTGGTGACACTGACAGGATGTGGGGAAATGGCCTGAAGTTGTGTCAGGGCAGGTTTAGGGTGGGTATTAGGAAAAGGTTCTTCCCCCAGAGGGTAGTTGGGCACTGAGCAGGCTCCCCAGGCTCTGGTCACTGCAGTGAGACAGAGCTCAGGCAGTGTTTGGGCAATGCTCTCAGGGACATGGTGGGATTGCAGGGGCTGCACAGAGCCAGGAGCTGCACTCAGTGAGCCCTGAGGGTCCCTTCCAGCTCAGATGATTCTGTGATTCTGCACAGTGAGGACACCACAGATGGAGGAAATGCCTGCTGGGCTCTGGGGCCATGGTGAGCTCCTGCCTGCAGCAGCAGCTTTGGCAGCAGCTCCTGAAGGGCTGGAATCTGCAGGCACTGCAGGGCAGTGACCCTGGCTCAGCTCCTGGAGCTACAACAGACAGGTGCTGCACTACTGAGCTCCAGATGCGTACATCCAGATGTGCTCCAGCATGCCAAGGTGAGGTGCCATTACTGACATGGTCTTTCCTCCAATTCTGGAACTAGTCAGGGCATTTCTAACAGCACTGCACAGCTTGGTGAAGATGTACTTTGACACCAAGTAAACCAGATTTTTTAAGAGCTCAGAAAAGAGATTTCTCCAGGAGCTACCTGTATTTGTTCTCCCTTTGGCTGTTTAGTGTCCCCATCTCCTCACATCAAATCCCATTTCCCACAGCTGTGCCCTTACACAACTGTTCACTTCACAAACACCTGCAAAAGTACTGAAAAAACCCCAACTTCCCAAAAGATCTTTCTGATTTGAATGGCCCAACTGCCCTCACTTTTTATATAGTTTATGTACCCATGAAATGTCAGGCAAGAAAATCAGCACAGTGAAAGCAAGAACATGATGAACTGCTCTGACACCACAACTTCACATGTTTACTTACACAAAGTTAAAATCAGTTTGCACTGAAAACCATCTCCCAGAGAAGAAAACTGAAATGTTATTATCTCCAGGTCTTAAAATGAAGGTAAATTAAGAACTTTCACCACATTAAGTGTGGGCTGTGAAGTAAGACTGATTTCCAGTGGCTGAACAACCAAAAATTCCCTGTCCCTGAGTCAGTTTTGCTGTTCTCACTGAGTGGTTTTGCACCACACCTGCCCCAGCACAGTGTGCTCACCCAGGGAGGGCACAGAGTCCTTAAGGACCCATTATTATTTCTATAGAAAATGGCAAAAGCCACACAGTGAGAGGTTTAAAAAATCTTCCTCTCTCAGCTGACAACTGAGTGAACTCCATTCCAGCAGCACTTCCAACATCATCCTGTTTGCAATGGAGCAGGGTGAAAATAAAGTCACTCTGAACATAAGCAGCAATCTTACTCCTCCAAACTGGATATCCATTAAAGAACCTTCTGATCTCATAAAAATTAATCAATTTGTGGACTCTATCAATCTGCCAGTTGCACATAATTAAAAGGCAGTCTGAGATGTGAGTGCTCCTTTATTGATCCTTCCTCCAGTTTTGCTTGTTTTCTTCCTCACAGGAAAAAGTGAATGTATCTGTCTTTCCTTGCTTTAGTGTTTATCATCCCCCTTACTGGACACCACCTCAATTCTCATGGAACAGCCTCAGTTCACAGACCAGAGGTAACAGCACTGCAGAAGACAGCAGACCTGAGAACTTGCCTTCTCTTTGAGAGCTTTAATGTTATTTCAAATTCTGAATTATTTATAAATTCCCCCACTCCCTCCCCATCCCAAAACAAGTTAATTTGAAAGTATTTAAAGCTACCTGGCACCTTTTGCAGCTATACTTGTGAGGCTCTAAATCTGCACTTTCATCAGAGTTGTCATCATTTTCCTCTGATGAGATTCCAATTTTCCCAATGAACTCTTCCCTCTGGTGATCATCCATTAGGGCTATGTCCTGTGTAAAATAAAGGGAAAGAATATTTTGTTTTTAATCTATTAAACTTCTTCAAAAAGCAAGGCCTGGTCACCTTTTGCTTCCATGCAGACTGCTTTGCATTAACTGCTGTAATATTATTTATTTAAAATATCCTCCTGCTTCATTCAATCATTTCTCTATCATATAAAGAATAACTTATTCAAACAACTAATATTATTTTTTCTGCATATAAAAGGAATTTTCATGCAAAGAGACTCAGCTGGTTCAGTATTACATCAATAAAAGCATCTTTATCAGCACCACTGAGTGATACAATTCCCTTTTAATTTAATTTAATTCCTTACAATTCAGTGTTGGCAAAACAATCTGATTATTAACACAATACCTTAAAATGGACATGAATATGATCTCTCAGCACATCCACTCTGAAAAATTTCCGTCCACAGATCTCACAGGTGTATTTCTTGTCTCCATGTGTTAGAAGGTGCTTGTTCATGTTGCTCCTACATGAAAATACCTAAACGGAAAAGAGAAGGAAGAAAGGATTTTTGGATCATGTCCAGCAGGGCTACAGTTCTTTGAAACCTATCCAGTGGAGAGCACATTTACTGTCACATTTACTGTCTTTTTTTATTCCTTCTGGCCAGAAACATGCAGGAGCTCCTGTTAGCAGTCTGCCTCAGAACTGCTGGCATGGCAAAATCCAGGGGCAGAGTTCCAAGGAACTGACTGAAACTGGCCATTTTTCAGGGGTGGACTTCCAAAAAATAGCTGCAGCAGAATTACACAGAGTAGAATTTGAAATATTTAGACAGCATCTTTTGAATCACCAATGTTCCATCTATCTCTAAAAAGATTTAACCACAAAATCTACCTTGACTGGTATGAAACGCATCCAAAGCATCAAAATCAGAGGTCTGCAGATCAGCTGAAGAGTCCTTGAGTGCCTTTTGCACCATGAATCATTAAACATCTATAAAATCACAAGTTAACCCACACTCCTTGTGACAACAGTAACTTATGATCATGAGTGTTGAACATTCAAATGCAACCATGCCATGACTACACCATGAATTCACTTTTATTCCCCATGGAAGAGGATTCCCAATGTTAACTCCAGCCGTTTATAACCAGTCAGAAAAACTCAATTTTAAATAACATAAGCCATGAGATTTCACTGACACACACACAGTGGCCATGTGAGACACTCCATTGTGCTGCATGTCCTGAAATACACTTTTGCTCTCATCTCTGTGCTAACAGCTCCCACCACCCATGGCCACAGTGGGCTTGGATAAATAATGGAGCTACAGGTGTTTGAAGAGGAATATCCTGACTGGACTCCACACCCTCCATGGGCAGCTGTTCCAGAGCTCTGCCACCCTCAGTGTGAGGAATTTCTTCCCCATGCTGAGGTGGAACTTTGTTTTATTTTATGGCCTCTCCTCCTCGTGCCATTGCTGAGTGTGGTATTCACATTCTCTGAACAGAGAGGCATAATTCTCTTTCCCAGGATTTTGCCTAAAGAAACACAGAGAAAATAGAGATAAGAATTGTTTTCTCTTCTTCTCTCTGTGCTTCTTCAGGCAAAATCCTGGGAGGGAGAATTATGTCTCTCTCTGTTCAGAGAATGTGAATACCACAGCTGAGCACCACCGAAAAGAGTCTGGCACCCTCCTCTGACGCCCCTTGGAGAGATTTAAATGGATGGATGGATCCCCTCAGTTTTCTCATGTGTGGACTGAACTGCAGCACCCTGGAGGCACAATGCAGAGCCTCTCATGGCACACTGGCACCAGCTCCTACCTTCCCACACACGGGGCAGCCCGAGGGCTCCTTCTTGTAGCGAACCATGCTCTCCGTGCTGTGCTCAAAGTCTTCTCTCTTCACACGCCTCACCCCTTCACACAGCAGTCCCCATCAAAAAAAAAACACAAAACAAGAAATAAACCATGGCTTTCCACTCCAGCCTGCAGGCCTGCTCACAAGGAGACTGGGAAAGAGAGTGAAACACTGGGAAGGGCCTCTATGCAGGGGTGAATTGGTAACAAAAGGGTGATTTCTAAATTAAAATGTGTTTTAAGAAGATAGAAGCAGTCTGCCAAAGTGAAGTGTTATGGCTTATTGGTTATTAAAGCAACTATAAAGTGACTGAAAACACTTTTGTAAAAACCATTTTTGTCAACACCAGGAAACAGGCAGATCTAGTAGGCCTTGGCACTTCAATGTGGTATCTGGCCCAGAAATTCACCCTCACTAAGAAAAAGAGAAAAGAAGTCTCTAAGAAGAGATGCAACCATCCAGCATCAGCTGTAATGCTCAGAGAGGATTTCAGACCTCTTTCTCTGCTGCTTTCAGGAGGGCAGAGGGCTCCTGCTCTTCTGTGACAGCTGAAAATGAGACACTGTCAGTGTCATACAGCTCCTTGTCCTCTGGTTCAGGACACAAAATAAACAATCTCACTTCCTTTTTTTTTTTTTAATCACTTTTAGTTTTATCATCTAAGTCACTAACCACATTCTAATACATGTAGAGCAATGTACCAACTTTTTCCAGTCTTTAAGTACCTGCAATAACCTCAGATGCTTGAGACTTTGAACAGCAAACTCTCATAATCTCATTTTCATATATTCTCAAGTGTTTCAAAGATAACATGCTGACACTGTATTTGTATAGTGGTCACTCTCAGCAAGTTAACTCTCTGCCTTCAGATTTTCAAGTTACCACACAAATTTTAAAAAAGGAAGAATTGGATGCAAAGAAAGAAAAAAAAATTAAAATAAGCCAGTCTAAACTGCTGCAAAATAAGCCATGCAGCTTCCACATGACTGTTAACACCTCTGGACCCACTACTGTTATTTTCCATAAATCTCACATTTTTCTGAAACTTGAAACTCTTGATCAGGTAACTGATTAATAAAAAGACAGCCACCATTCAAGATATAATGCACACTATCATTTCCTTAACCTGCCCACCTCCACTGCTGTTTCAGGAGGAATAATTAGGTTGATCTGCAGTAAATTTACCTTCCAAGTGCCGCCTCTGATGGTCCAGCATGACATCCTTCCTGTAGAACATCTTATTGCAGATCTCACATGCAAACTTCTTATCCCCGTGTTTTTTCTTGTGTTTTGAAAGGTTGCTGTTTGTAGAGAAGAATCTGAAACACATCTCACACTGGAATGTCTTGTCATCTGTAAGCAAGAGAAAGCATGCAGGTCTTTAGAGCTGAAAACAGGTTTTGTATGTTTGTGAGACAGGTGGTTCCTCCGTTGGATCTGGGTTTTAAACATGGAACCCCCCATCACTCTGCTCTAAGGGCAATTACCTGTGTGATTCTGGACTGAACATTATTGTGGGACCAGGATAAAAGTAACCAGGATGGAATTTTCTGAGCATAAGATCACAGCAGAAATAATATGAGTAACCACAAGGGCTGGCTATGGGAGAAAAGCACAGATTGGAGTGATACTAAGAAAAAAACATTTAGAGACTACTGCAGAAAACTGAGGAAAACTGCAATCCCAAAAAACTACATATTACCACTAATATTGGTCCTGTTTCCAGTTCTTCTGTTTCAGAGTGAGGTGGAATTTAGTTTAAGGGAAAAAAGTTAAACAGAGATTATCTGTGAACAAAGGAAATGCCAGTGAGGATATTACACAGGTGAGCAGGAGATACTAACAAACCCAATTCCTAAGTGGATGTGTTGCTCTACAGATCATTAGTTACACTTTTCTTATCAAAAACCCAGGTTGCTTGTTGTGATGATGACAAAAACCTAAATCCCAACTCGCTTTCTGTAGTTTCTCTGCAGAGATGGATTTGGGGACATCTTCCCAGAATGGAGCAGAGATGCCAGAGGAAGAGTTTCCATTCTCACCTGTCCTGCAGTTGTGGAATTCCAGTGCACTCTCTATCCGAAAGGCCTTTTCACACGTGGTGCACTTGTATCTGTACTCACTGTCCACCTGAGGATCACAAACAGGAAAGGCCAAGTCACATCTGACAGAGAAATTCTAAACCTCAAACACCTCCTCTGTTTTCTGTTCTTTCCAATTTTTAATCCTTCAAGAGGGCATTTATCTACACAGTGGTGCAAAATTCTGATGCTGTATTATCCTGCCATGCTCCTACATCTGAGCTATAAAAACTCCAAAAATTATGCTCCTGTGTGGATGTGGAACATCTGGTCCAACACAGACACAGAAGGTTTGAGAAGCAAGATGTGATCTGACTCATCTTCCAGAAGAGGTGGCAGCAATCTGAGAGTTAAGGACCCTGGTGCCAAGCAACAATGGAAATTGTCACTAATAAGGTGCCACTAAAGGTGTGTTTGGTATTTCTATGGCAGCAGCATCAAAAGGCAGAGTTCACACGTTAAAGGAATGATGAGTGGGGAAAAATCAAACAGGACAAGCAAACAAGAATGAACAACCCTATTTAGCAGCATAACTCAAGTCAGATCTCACCCCTGTATCATGCAGGTCCAGCTAACTCCAGCTTGTCTTGCTGGAATTGATGCCTGAAAGCAATTTTCTATAGGAAAAGGGTTTGCACATGCTCAAAAGCACTTGTCAAATCCATCAATTATTCTAAAATAATATGTTAACACTCCCTCTCTGTCCTTTTTATCCCATGGGATACCTGCTCACATGAGCAGGGCATGCTCACACCTGGAATCTCACTGTGCCTTTGCACATAAACCCTGCAAGAGCCCCTTGCACTCACTTCATTCCTGCTGTGCTTGTAGGAAACGTGCTGCTTCAAGCTCTCCTTCCTGCTGAACAGCTTGGCACATTCCTCACATTTAAACAGCTTGTCACCTGAGGGGATCAATCAAGATGAAAGGGAAGTAGTCAGTCATTGAAAATAACCAACTCCAGGCAAGGCAGGGGAAACCAAAGCACAAGCAACTGCAATGTGATGAAAAATTTAGTATTTCAGCAGATCTAACCAGTGGATTTTAACCATTTCCAACAATTTTGGTTTGGTCCCCCCACCCTTTTTTAGTGATGATTGTTCACAGAACCCTTAAAATAGGACACAGACCCCTGGAACTGCAGATCACAAGTGGAAAAACACCTGACACTTACACAGCTGTTAGCCATGTGCCTGTGGGGGTGATATTTATGTATCAATTAAAAGGCAATAAAAGCTTTGCAAAAAAAATATCACATCCTTGCCCTCATTTAAAAGATGTACCTAATTCAAATTTTAAATAATTTCAACTTCAATTCAGCATTATCTATTGCAATAGATAACATAGACAGATAGACAGATAGATATCTTCTATATCTCAGAATAGATGTCTTCTCATGCTTTGGTCTGAAAAATTAAGAGTTTCCCTCACCCACGTGCCTGTGAAGGTGGGGGTGATATTTATGTATCAATTTAAAGGCAATAAGAGCTTTGCAAAAAACATCACATCCTTGCCCTCATTTAGAAGAAGTAACTAATTCAAATTTTAAATACTTTAAATACTTTCAACTTCAATTTGGCATTATCTGTTGCAATAGATAAGATAGATAGATAGATAGATAGATAGATAGATAGATAGATAGATAGATAGATAGATAGATATCTCAGAATAGATGTCTTCTCATGCTTCGGTCTGAAAAATTAAGAGTTTCCCTCACCCACGTGCCTGTGAAGGTAGGGGTGATATTTATGTATCAATTTAAAGGCAATAAAAGTTTTGGAAAAAACATCACATCCTTGCCCTCATTTAGAAGATGTAACTAATTCAAATTTTAAATACTTTAAATACTTTCAACTTCAATTTGGCTTTATCTGTTGCAATAGGTAACACAGATAGATAGATAACATAGATAGATAGATAGATAGATAGATAGATAGATAGATAGATAGATAGATAGATAGATAGATATCTTCTATATCTCAGAATAGATACCTTCTCATGCTTTGGTCTCAAAAATTAAATTTCCTAGACAGACTTGAAAGAAAGAAAAAAGCCAAAGCAGCTCTTATAAATACACATCCCAATCCCTAAAACGAGCCCCGCTGTTTAACTCGAAGGTGGAACCAAGACATAAAATCAATGAAAATCAAGACATAAAATCAATCCCAGCCAAGGGAAAAGCCAACCCACCATGAGAACGGATGTGCCTGCTGAGGTTGCTGCTGTTCTGGAAGATCTTACTGCAGATGCTGCACTGATAGACCCTCTTGTGCTCCCCCAGCTGCTTTATCAGCTTCCGCCGAATCCCGTGTCTACTGGAGAGAATGAAACTTCTTTTGAGGGACATGGTGTTTTGGTGATGAGCAAACCTACTGGATTAGAGAGAAAGGCAGGGACTGAAAGCTAGCCCACAGGTTGTAACAGAGCTAGTAAAAACTAGAGGAGTGTTAAACTCAGCTCCTGGCAGGAGGGAGGGGGCCTGGATGGAGCTTGCCCAGCTCCAAGGTGCTCCCCTGGCCACCCCCTAGAAGCTGCAGATGTCACTCGTTCCAAATTTTCTTCACCCAGAACCAGTGATGCAAAAAGCAACAGCAGAGATTCTCTTTGCAGGCCCTTCAGAGGGACAGAAAGGGTCTGTTCTGCTTTGAAAACATCAGCTCTAGCTCAGCTTGGGAAGCTTGGCAGCCCCCATGTCAAAGCTGTATTTGGGCAGAGGGCAGCAGGGTGCCAAGCAGCACTGTGCCATTGCCCAGCACAACCACCTGATGAAATGACTGTGGATGGCTCTGTGTCTGCTAAGGACTTCAATATATACCATTACTAGCTAATTCATAAAAATTGAGTGCTCTATTATAAAAAAAAAAAAAAAATTCAAAAGGCCAATTTTACCAAGACAAAAAGACATCAAGGAATCTGAATTAATCATGTGATACTTAAGAGTCTCCCTGAGGTTCTGTTATACTGAAGTTTTCCCCTCCTACTGCTCCAAATCTGGAGTATCACAGCAAAATCAACATGAAGTCATTCATGAGCTAAGATGACAAGCAAGACTGAATAATAATAAAAATTAGTAATATATTCTGAAAGAAAAATCTTTTTGCCTGTCTTATCACTAACATTCAATGGGAGTAAATTTCACCTTGCAGCTGCAGGAGGCTTTTGGAAACACAGAATAAAAGCAGTAACATGATGAAAAAAGAAATTTTCATTTATGTTATGTTCCAAAATCCTACCAGTGTACAAGTGGCACTCAAAATCACCTCTTGAAGCAGCAGCATCACACAATTTTATGCTGATAAAAAAGAGCATCTGTGTGGCCAGAAGTTGAGCAGAACTGTTGCATGCTACATCATCTTAGATACAAGTAAGAGGAAATTGTGCATCCCAGAACACTTACTTTGTCACTGAGCTGATGCTGTTTGTGGTGCTGGGCATCTTTCCTAAAACCAGGTCCATGATGCTCTCTTCTGGAGCTGGGGGCAGGGCCACCTCCTCTGGAGGGACCTCAGGGACAGCGTCAGCCACACGTTCCACTGCACACACACCAAAGAAATAAACACAGCAGTAATGTGGACAGCTGGAAACAAAACCTCAAATGCAGGATTTGTAATAAGAGGTGGCACTGGACAAACCAATTGTCCACAAGGAAAGAATTCAAATAATCATAGATCAGCATGGGTTGGAAGGGATTGTTAAAAATCAAATCAAACCCCCTGACACAGGCAGGCACATCTCACCTTTTTCTAACTTCTTACCTTTCCAAACCTTTACTGCAGGGTCATGCTTTACTGAAAGCATCATGAAATTTCCTATTAGAACATCCCTTAAGGAAGGTAAAGCCCTTTCTAAACTGAACTCAAGGGAGAGAGAGAAAGATTTGTCCTCTTGAGAGGAAAAATGCTTCCTCTCCTGTTCCTTCTTGCAGTTCTCACAGCCTGTGTTTCCCTGGGGCTCTCTACAAACATCACAGAAGAATGCAGGTGACTCTGTGGGTGCTGCCTTCAAGGCTCTCAGAAATAACTAACAAAACTAGTAAATTGGCAGCTTTAGTGATCTAACTAAAAACCTCCATCTTATCTCTGCTGCTTTTCAGGCCTTTCTGCAAAGGCATCTTCACAGATGTATAAACAGATATATTGCTTAGCATTTTCCAGATTTCTGTCTTACCTGCAGGATCTTTCTCCTCATCAATGACAAGAGGTGTTTCTACTTTTGCTGATTTGGCTTTTCTCCCCCTCCTGGCCTTTCTCCTCGAGTCTGTGCTGGCACTGCCTGTATCACTTGCCACTGGTTGATCTGCTGGCACAGCCTCTGCTGCTTTCTCTGCTTTCTCAGCATCATTTTGGTTGCTTGGGGAGGCACCTTTGGCTTGTTCCAGGTGACTCAGCAAGTGCTCTGGGTGGATAAGGAAGAACAGGAGAGTAAGGAGGAAATTATCCTTAAAATACTCAAATGAAACTAGCTGAAGCCCATCTATCAGGTCCATTTCACTTGGCAGTGGCTTACTTCAAATTATTTCAAAAGCAGTCACAATACCTTCAAAAATCAAAGCCTACAGTTTATTCAACAGACACAAGAACTGAATTTTTAAGGAGATTTGTTGATAACACAGCAAAAAGTTTGTTTTTCTAATAATGAGCACATTTTTCCAAATGTCCAAGTTATTTACTGACTGAAGTCCCCTTTTCAAAAAACATTCAGCAAATGGCCAAAGCCTCTAAATAATTTTAAGCTCTTCCGAAAAACTGCATAAAATAGCTGCAAAATATGTACTTCATTACCCTTACTAAATCTGTGCCATAAATACCAGATGGACAATATCACAAAGTATAACCTGGCATCACTGACCTTCACACTGCTCATGCAGCTCCCTAGCCTTGATTTTCCTGACAGTCACATCATCTTCTAGATCACATTCTAGTTTTATTTCTTCTAGTTTTTTTATTATATATATATATTTTTTTTATTTCTTCTAGTTTTATTTCTTCTAGATTCAACATTACAACTGTTTGTCCAGAGACAGAACACTGCCATGGTCAAAATATCTTTGTTCTACCTTCCCTACTACTGCTTTCCTTTAAGGAACACAAAATTTAAAATTTTTCTCTTCCTGCACCATGGGTGGTGCATGGCTTCACAGCCATGGGAGAGCAGAACTCTGCTGAGGATTCTCAGTGCTCTCCCATGAATTTCTAGCACTTCCTACCTGTCAGCAGCTGGGGCTCTTGGAAAGCAGATGAACACACTTTACACGTCCACTGGTTGGGCTTTGCTTCTGCTGTTCCACTGCCTTCTGGAGTGTTCACTAAATCACAACAAGAAACACTGAAATACTCTGAAAATGGGGAGGTGGTAAAGCCCTGTAGCTTTGTTTATCTTGCAGTAACTCCCTGAGTATCACAAGGTATAATTTAAGCAGCAAGAGGCCCCTGGGGGAAGCTGGGACCATTTCAGGATTCTCCAAACATCAAGAGCTGAACTACTGGAAGATAAAAATGATGCCAGGAGAGAATATCAGTGCCCTTGTAAAATCCTGAGGGCTCCTTTATCACTTTCTAAAGAACTGAGTTCATAAAAGGCATGGCATAAAGCAATTTTTAGCACCTTTAAAACCAGAGTTACCAGTCTTCTTATGGATTAGCTGAGGACAGAAGCAGGACAAACCTCTGTGAAGGGCATTGCAGAGTAAGAACATTTGGATTAGCGCAAGTAAGGGTGAGGACAATGAAAACCTGGGTTTCAGCAGTTTCATTAATTACATGTGCTATGAAATCACCATACTAATACTTTAATTAACACATCAGCTCAAGAAAGGCGAAGAAATTAGGGCAAAAATGAAACTGGAATAAAAAAAAACAACAGGAAGAGTAACTCTGTTCACAGTCCTTTGTATTTCAGTCCTTAGATGATAAATTTGTCAAGAGGATCTGATAAATCTGGATTGATTCAGAGATTTTTTTGGCACACAAAAAGCTGAGTAACACTCCTTCTGCAGAGGAGGAGGATGACACTGAAGTCAGGGTAAGTGAATGGCAGTACAGGGAATTCAAATTGTGCCTCAGTTTCTGCCACAGATTTCCCAGATGGTCATTACATGGCAGCTCATCTCTCTCTGACTGAGGACCCCATCTGTAAAGGGACAGTAAAGTTCTTCCTTCTTTGTTGAACCAAAATAAAGGATTCTCTGAGGCAGAGGCTGTTCCCTGCTACAGGAGATACATTCAACACTCTGCACTACAGAGGTGTGATCTCATCCATGCTGCAATAAATAAATTAGTAAGAAATCACTTGGCAATACAGCAACAAAAATTCCCTCTTCAGACGCTACATAAAGAACTTCTTGAGGGCTCTGTCCAGGAGGACAAAAGCAGCAAATCAAGATTCTGTGTAAGTTAATTGTGCCTGACTCTGCACTTCCCTTGCTCCTTAGCTCCTTGTACTGGTTTGTCAGGAAAAGTCAGGTCTTTCTTAAATTCCCACTTCCTCAGGCTTCCAGGGCAGCTGCAGGGCAACCTGGCTGACTTGGAACCACACATCTGACAGCTGGCAACTGCTTGAGGTATATGATTTGACGCAAACAAAATCAAAAGAAGAAAATGTTGTTTTGGAAGCACCAAATCAGTGGGAACACCTCAGGGTTCCCCAAATATAAAAGGCAGCTTTTTGTTTCTACTGAGGTTGGACTTTCAGGCAGTAGGGTGAAGGATGTAGGAGGGGCTGTTCCAATTCTTCATTTTACCTCTGGAAAAATCAATAATGCCAAACTGAAACAACTCCTCAGTCAACTTCAGAGTTTGGCTGTGACAGAACCAAAGCTGACAAATGGATCCTCTGATCAGCTGCTCTGCACACACCTGCAACAACTCCCCTCCTTTCCTCCCAGCCACTTTTAACAAGCAAAGCTTAGGAAAATAACGTCTCAAAGAGCACACCTAGAATGGTTTTCTTTTGATCTTGTGCACTCTGAGTGTAATTTTTGAAATTTGTGTTAAGTAGGTTTTTAATTTCACTGTTGCACTTTGCAGAGACTGGGTGAGGGGAGCACTGCTTTGTAAAGAATCCTTGGGACAGAGTTCCTGTGGCACTACCAGGTATTTCCTCAGCCATGTGTTCTTTGCCAAGAGAATATTTATTGCTTGTAAGTTTATTGAAATTTGAGTTTCTGTAATTTAGAACAGTTTGAGCTCTAATAGTGGCATATACTGTGGTATTGTTGTAATTTGGGTATGGCCAATGTTCTTGTCATTTCCAAATATTTGAAATGTTTTCTCCTAGAGCTTGGCCTGATCATTTGAATTACCACACCATGCACAGGCAGAATGAAGATTTTATTGGGGATTGCCCCCATCCCAACACTAACCATCTCCAAAGTCAGGAGCATTTGTGGTTTTCATGAAAATAATCTGCCTAAAAGTTTATTGGCCCCTCTGTCACTTTTTAACCTGTGTATGTACTTTAAGCACTGTACCCATGAAAATGAAAAGAAAAAAATCAGGCTTTCAAATCCTCTCTAAATTAGTATTTGCCAGAAGTTCTATATCTATAACAGACATGTAGGAGTGTTTGACCTAACAGCTCTGCACACCTGTATCTGTCCTCTCTCTTCCTTAAGAGCACAGTAATTTTGCATACCTGCTGGATCAGCTGCCAAAATGCTGGATTTCTTGTTTTTTTTATGGGGTAAGACAGCAGATGAAGGTTTTGAAGAGACTTTATTATTCCCCTCTTTATCAGACTCCATTGCTACCAAGGATGTATCTGTGAAGAGGAAAAAGAGTTCATCATTTTTACTGCCCATTCCCTTTGACTCTTGCTCTGTGCTGAGGGCAGCAACAACAGTCAGAAAGTTTTATTCTGTAACAGGCCTGCAAATAACATTCTCATGGAAAATTTCAACCAGGGCATTCTTACAGCTGAATCTCACCCACTGTGCCTTAAATATTCTGAAGTGAACCATGAAGTGCTGAACAGAGAGTGCAGGGCATATTTTAACAGTATTTTAAAACACCCATAACCCCCAAAAAATACATGAACAGGTTAAATTAAAGAGGGAAAATATGAAACCTCTCAGTTAATACCAAGTGGAAACATCTCAGAGCTCAGAAACATGTCAACTGCATTGATTCAGCTGCAGCACTTGAGACTCTGCTTAGGATCAAGGGCAGCAATAAAGCTGACACTGGTGGCAATGGCTTCTTCCCAAATTTGTCACCCCAAATTATACCCAGCAGAGCAGTAATAACATCCAGGGAGTACTCCCAGCTCAAGAGCAGGAAGAAAACGCCCTTACAATGTCAAAGGGCCTTGCCTTTCAGCTGGAGAAATGGAAAAGTAGGAGAAAACAAAGGGGAAACACTGGAATCTGTGGTAATTCTAATTCAGATATTAAAATATCTGCTGCCTTTCTTTCCAATGCACAGCCACGTGGATCTTGCTCTAGTGGGTCCCATGTGAGGATGCTTAAGAGAAATCCAGTTTTATAGAACTCTGTAACAGTTCTGTGCAAAACCAAACCATTTTCACTGTAACTGAAGAATGGCTTCTTTATCAAATCTGTATACAGATTTCTCTGATAATTGAGCTCCTTTGCTGTTCTACCCGCCCAGAAATGATTTGATACAAATGATTTGATACACCAAATCTTTAGTTAAGGACTATTGCAGTCTGTCCACTCTGAAGAGGCTGAATCAGTAACTAGGCCACCTGTTTTAAAAAAACCTGGCTGTATCATGGTGAAGAATCTACACTTTCCTCTTGCAGGGCACCCACGTGTGCAGGCTGGCCTGACTGTGCAGGATAAGAACCCACTGGATAAACAGCACTGTCAACTCCAACAGGCAAGGACTATCAGTCCCTGCCAGCACTGGGCCCTTAGGAAGGAAGAAAGGCCCCCACACATACCATTGGCAACACTAGTGACCTGCTTCAGCACTGGCTTTTCCATTTTTTTGGCGTAAAAAGCTGCATACCACACTCTCAGCTCAGTTCCTGGGGGGATGTCCTGGCAGGTGGTGAAGTAAATGTCATTGTCATGCTGGAAGGCTGTGAGGTTTTGGTGCTCATACTCGGTGGCTGGGCGCACCATCATCATCCAGTTGCAATCATCTTCGTTTGTGGTGTCAAAATACACCAGGGGCCCTTCCTTCTGGAACACCTGCCAAGCAAAATGGGCACAGAATAAAAACCATGAGGAGTGATATAAAGTTAAGGGGAAATAAATGATTTTCTGCTTTTGCAGTGGTTTCTTTTCAGAGGACATCAGGGACGAAGCAAACCTCAAGTCCTGCATCAGGAATCTTTTATTTAGCCATACCTTCAGATGAGAAAGACAACCAGGAGCAAGACTGGAACAAACTGAACAAAATCATCCCAAGAACTCTTCTATAGCCACCAGTTTCCCAAAAACTTACTGCATACATGAGTGGAAGGGTATCCAAACAGCCATCAGCCCAAGGCACAATTCTAAATCTTTACTTCTGAGGGCATGAGGTATTAGTGGAAACTAAGATTGAATTCCATTCTTAATGTAGCATTTTTCTTACCAAAACTTGTCAAGAGAGGAATAAAACAAATGCAAGACAGAAAAAACCCCACTTATTCTGCATGTTCCATAAACCTAATACATATGGGAATCATTAGGAAAATTCAATCAGATTGAAGAGACTCATTAAAAGAACTGAGCTTCTAGTTTGGTTCTTCTGTTCTTTGCCCAGAGAATGTTTGTTTAGCTCATCCCTTACAGGGCACACCTAAAAGATGTGCCAAATAATCCCCCTTCATATCTTTGTTTTCATAGTGTTAGCCAGCATTAATTCCTCACAGGTTAAACTGACTCCTTGATATTTATTGCTTTACAAATTCTGTGTCTTACCTTCAGGGGAAAAACTGATTCTTTCTCCAGCTTGAGAACTCTCTTGCATTCAAAGGGGCCAAACTGGGTACGTTTCACCAGCTGAGTCAGAGCAAACACTCCCTCAGTCCCATCCTCCAGCTGCCTTATCTCCAAATTAGAAGGCAGAGATGATCTAAACATTTAAGAGAGAATTGAGGAAAAAAAAAATAAATCACAGAACTGATTAGGTTGGAAAAGACTTCCAAGATCAGCAGGTTCAACCTTTGGCTGAACACCACCTCAGCCAGTAACAGTTATGCAATGCAGGAACCCCTGAAGAAAGAAATCAGCATTAAACTCAAGTGTTTCTGTGCTCCCAGCCTCTCTCTTTTCCCAAACAAGCTTCTGAGAAAACTACATGTAGCAAATAGTGTTACTATGTATAATACACAGAGAACAGCTTCCCGAAAATTCACTAGACTGGCCCCACTGTATTGGTTTTACAAACCAAATGCAATTCTGTTTTTTTAGGTCTGTGCTAACAGATGAAAAGCTAAAATAATCAGACAGGCTACTGACTACCCTGAGGTTGACACTGGCAGAACTGCTTTACTGCCTAGATAAAGAGAAATACAAAAAGATTTCAATCACAGTGCTAAGCAAATGAATTGAAAACAATACTTTTAGTTTGAAGCATACAAGGAGCAGTGTTAGAGACAGAGAAGTTCAGCAGATGTTTCTCAGCACTTCTTTTCTAACATAAAGCATCCATTTGATCTTTTCAGTAAGACAGAGGGAACAACAAACATGGTTAAGCAAGCAGACTGTTTTTAAAAGATTCATATCCAGTTTGTGGTTTAACTTGCCCTCAACCTCAGATAACTCATTTTCAGTTACTGCTCCCCAGATGTAAAGGCTACAATTAAATTTCTTCTTTCCTTTTCTTACCTTACCTGATTTCAGTTAAAAACTCTTCAGGAAAAGAAATACATGTATCTGTAAAAAATCAATTTAAAATGCTGCTTTCAAGTCTATGGTCCAGCAGCCCACACTTCCACCAGGGAAAACTTTGCATTTGCATGTCAAAAGGAGATTGAAAACCACTGCATGGACCATATTTGCAAACACTCCCAGTTGGAACATCTGGACATGAAAGTGCAAGTTAAAAACCAGAAAAAGGTAGGAAATAGTAGTTTGTCATGGAATGTGTGTAGCACAGGCTAGAGACTTACTGCACTGCCCATTTTTTGTATACAATAAAAGCACCTCTCCTTCTGTTATTCCAAGGGGTATTTTTAAATGACCCTCAGCACCTGTAGTGCCAGGGCTGTTATCCATGCACAGCTGCTGCAGGGGATCATCCAGGGCAGGTTTCCAGGCACAGAAAGGCAGTGCCTGGCAGGAGCTGCAGGGAAATTCCTCTTCTGGGAAGGCCAAGAAAAGCAGGGTCAGTCACTGTACTTGGTGGGGCACCAGGAGCATCCTGCCCTGGCCAAGGGGTTGTGGCACCCAGGGAGCAGATCCAGCACAACAGAATTTGTTCCAAAATGATGCTGGGAATACACAGCACAGCCCACACAGGCAGGACGTGCCAGACTTGCTGCCCACATGCCTGTTTTCTGCCTGTGACTTCCCAAGAAGAAATATGGAAGCCCTGCACACATTATATAACACACAAAGCCATCTGAACACTTCCCTTTTTGGATCTGCACTACACCTTCACAATAGTTGATTCTTTTCCTTAGCTTTACATTCTGCATCTTAAAATGAATTTTGCTGACAGTGCCTGATTGTCTTTCCCTGTAAAAATCACTACTCAGTGTTGTTTTCTCCCAACTAGATTGAGTCTATTTGTTTCTTTTGGCAAACATGAGTGTTTCTGCTGTGCTGTCACAGATTTGCTGACAGAACTATTACCCCTAATCGTTTGCAAAGCCCCACAATAATGAGAACAACTTGTTTTGCTTCTAAGTGGAAGAATGAGAGAGTTCATACACATGAATGAGAAATCCTCACACACTTCTCTGAAATGAATCTGGTGTATCTAAGGGGGATAAAAGGGGCAGGTACTCAACTGTGACAGAAATCATCACCCCATCTGGCAGCACCCTGACTTTGTGCCAGAAACCTCAGCAAAGAAACAGAGTCCTGATGAGCAGCAAGTTATTTTTTTTGGCTTCTATTCAGTGCAGCACTTAAGTGTGTGCATCAATTTTTCTATTTAATCAAGGCCATGTGCTTTCCATAGATTTCTGTCATCCTCTGGGACTTCAGTTTCCAGCTGTCAGTGTGACAGCCACCAAACAGCAAATATGCTTTAAAGGACTAACATGGGGGTGTTGGGTTAGTCAGGATTAACACAAACATTTCTTACCTTGCCCTGCTCAATACAAAGGAGTCTTTGACTGTCACCACTGGGCCCAGCTCAGGACACTCTGAATCGTGGTACTGCCCACAGTCCTCACACCCTGCAAGGAACCAGACACAAAAGGTTGGTGGAAAACATTTTTCTAAGACAGTTTCCTCTCTCTTTCAAAAGAAACCTAGCACCAGGTAAAATACATACACAGAGAAGCAGATGTTTATTTATACTGCTTAAAAGAACATAAATAATTGAACACTGAGTGGATAGCTGGCACCTGTGTAGGTGAGATAACACACACTGTGATCAGTACATCAGAAGACAATTGTTTAAATTCTCTCACCAAGGCAAATAAATGCCTTACACCCACAGTAAATATTCTGCTTAAAGATGGCATTATTCTTCAGATAAAGTGCTGCAACACATGGCAGCTAAAGAAAACCACATCACTGCTTCCCCAGGAGCTGGGCTGATCTGAACAGCTTGGTGTTTCCAGTGACAGGAGGCACAAACCCAGAACCAGCAGCAGAACTGGCACAGGGCTCAGCAGGGCACCAGCAGGACCAGCCCTGCCTGGCCACACACATTTCTCACCCACAGGGCAGGACAGACACCTCCAAGGTGCCTCCTGGTGCCTTTCCAGACAAGTCAGCTGCTGCACAACACACTCTGGCCACCTAATTCACTGTCAGCTCAGCTAAATTAACTTTCAGTTTAAGTGCCTGTAAATTACCCAGAACTGAGTGGTTCCTAAGAAACAATTTTCAGGCGAGGATAATTTGAGGCTTTCTAAAATAAGCTAACTTAACAGGATTCCAAATGCTTATACACTGCTTCACTGGGAAAAAAATAGCTGTCAAAGTGCCCTGCCTGGTCAGCTGCTGACACAGCTTCAGGAGAGATCATCACACAGGGGTTATATTGCTGTGCTGCCTTTTGCATCTCAGCTCCAAGCTTACAAGGGCAAGTCAGGAAAACCCCAGAAAATGTGTAATGTAAGGGTCACTACACCTTTTTTGGGAAGACATGACAAAATCCAAGTCATTCCAAGGTATATCCCCTCTGGCAAAGCCACTTTGTGCTCCCAACTGGAAGCTTCTACTCATCCCAGTGAACAAAAGGATTTCTAAAACAAGGGATTTTAAACTGCTTCACATTCCTTCTGGCAACAAAAACAGCTTAGTAGTGAAAAAATACATATATTTGACAAACAGCATTTCTGGCTGGTGCAGCCCCCAAGCCTGGTCACTGCCTCCTGTTTGTGCTGCCTTCTGGTGAGGCAAGGAATGAAACAATCAGCTCTTCACACGGTTTTTCAGAAGGAGGAATTTCCCAGCCTGGCTTGCTGTACCAGAGAAAAATGGGCAAGTACTACTCACAAAGCAGCAGCACCAAAGCTCAGCCTACAGCTGTTCAATGTTCCACCATTCCAGGTGTGCCTGTAGCCCAGGCTGCTGAAATTATTACTGAAAAATATTACTGAAATAATATTACTGAAAATATTATTGAAATAATCTGGGCTAAACGCAGATTTCCCAAACCAGAGAGGACAGAGGAATGTGTAAACCTGACTGCTGAAAAGAAATGGACTGTCATCCATAAAGGGTTGTCATAACCAAGGGGACAGGAAGGAATAGCCTGAGTAACAGCTTCTCCAATAGGCTTTGCTGTCCAAAGAAAAATGCACTTTGTCATTTTCCTCATCTCCTGACAGCATCAGGGCACTCCTCACCTCTGCAAAGATAAGCCTCTGAAAGGTGCAGACAGCACTGGCCACAGCTACAGGCAGGAATAAGGCACACATTCCTCTCCTCTGCAGAGCAATGAGCAAAGCCAGGGGAATATGACAGTGACATTGCGTGGCACAGCTCAATATCCAAGGGATGTCCTACAGCAGCCAAAGCTGTTACACCCACCATATGTGACACTTTCAAGAGATTACAGCCACAGGAGAGACACAAAAACAAGCATGGGAATATTAAAAAAATACCCCAGGGAGACTATACTCACACACTTCATAAAAAGAAAAATTCCCAAATTCTCTTGTCTATGAAATACATACTCAAGGATGTTTATTATTGGGAGTGCACAGTGCCATTATAGCAAATAATTTTTTCAGAACATAAACAGTCCTCATATTCCATGGGACAAACTAATTGCAGAGAGCACAAGAAAAAGCCCAGTGACCACAGCCCCCACTGGAAGGGATAAAACAATTCTGTGTGACACCTTCTATCTAATTAGGAGTGGCATCACATCCCCATTCTTTTTTGCTGTCCACCAGAATCCTTTTGTGAAAGGGAAGATAAGGTAACCACTATTGGTATCTGCATCTCAGTAAAAAGGCAAACAGCCAACACTAGTTTTGAAGGAAACTGGTGGAGGGAGAAAATTCAACTTCTGACAATTGCCATAAATGCAGCTGTGGAACCATCAGAGGTAAAATATGTGGATCCTAAAATCAAGGATGTGCTCCATTCTGCTCTGCCCTGACTGGATCCAAAACATCTGGGCCCTCTGTGCTCACACAAGGACTCTACATCCCTTAACTGTGGCACCAGGTCCTGCCTGCCCAGGCTGCTGACAAAAGACAGGATCAGTGTGGCACCCAAGGCTACACAGGCAGTGAATGCCATGAGTGAAACCTGCCAGGGCAGCTGGTGCATCTCAAACTGGGCTTATTCTGAAGGAATTCTGATTCTGCCTGCCCCTGCTGTGGAGGTGCAATCCCCAAAGCAGGCCAGAGGTCAGAGCTATCCCCAGACAGCCCTGGCTGCTAGAGCTGGTTGTACAAACAAAGGGCTTACACCAGGGTGAGACCTTCAATCTCACTCACTTCAGCCATGAAAAAGCTGTGCTGCTCACTCACATTCAGAGGTTTCACTGTGTGTTTGCCAACAGCATCAGAATGTGTATGCTTAAATTACACAAACTCCTCTCTATTCACCCATTAGCTGCATGAGCCTCCTTTACAAAGAGCAATTTTTCTAAATAAAATCTTAAGTCTGGTTTAATTTCAGGCATTCTGAGTAGACAAGTCACACACAGTGAGAATTAGATCCTTTTCGTAATACTTACAAATAAACATAATCTCCTCACTGCCATCTTCAGCCATTATTTTAAACCTGCCAAAACACAAAAGACAAAGTTAGTTCTGAATTGATTTTTATTTTCTGTATCATATAAACATTCCTTTGTGAAGTAATGATGCTGACTGACCCAGAGCCCACACAAACACATTAATGTTTCTGCAGGAGTATCAATGGAAAATAAAGAAATTCAAGTTTTTAAAAGCCCCAGAGACTGCTGCATCACTACATGTGTTGCAGACATCCCTACCAAGGAAACCTCAATGTCTGTGTGTTCTCAGGCATTTCTCTGTGAGGAAATGCTGTCTCCTGCTGTTCCCCATCTCTGACAAACTTCCAGCCACTGCTGCATCCCCTGCTAGAAAGCTCCTGTGGAGTCTCAGAACATTCAGGGCCAGAGGATAATCCAGGTCAGCAGCAACCACTGCAGGAACAAGGCCCAGTGCAACATTTTATTGAACACTGCAACATTTTATTTAGCTTAAAAACATTATCTCTGAGAGGCAGATAACTTATTAAATAAACACAGTAATATTAAAAGCTGCAGATACAGGCACAGACCTCTTCCAGAGGCAAAGGCATATTGTGGTATTGAGCACCAGAAAACCTGGGGAAATAAAATCCTGCCTCTGTCACTGAGGCAGGATTTCATTCTATGAAATGGTAACTAACCAATTTGATTTCACACTTAAATAAGGTTAATCTATATTCACTTCATTAGTGTCAGTTTGTATTAAAAACTTGCATGAGCACTATTGCCCCTCAACAATTAAATTATGGTTGGCACAATATCTGATTACGTATGGCTAAGACCACAATACAAGCAGGACCTAGAAGAGAGTTTTTCCCTTTTCTACCCAAAAAAAGCTCTCCTCCTAAAATAAACAATTTTGCCAATGCCCCAGAAGAGAGGCAAAGCAACACAAAGACCCAAGTCTGAGAGAGGTGAGGCTGCAAAACAGCAAGAGGAGGACAGGAAGGAGTAAGAGCCTGAATCTCTGAGAGGGAGAGCAAACATGACACACCAAACTCAGAGACCTGCTTGAAAACAGATAAAGCAACAAAAGCCAAGCCAGAAAAGTGGGAGCACAGGCACTGCTCAGGATCAGGACTCTCCAAGCACTGCCCTTCCTAACACCACTGTCAGCAGCAGGATCCCTCCCTAACACTCACTGCTCTCAGGGGCAAACACTCCCATCCGTGGCACAAGCTGGGCCTTTCTGGGCTGCAGCTTTTGGGGACTAAGCTCAAATAACAGAACAAACATTTATACAAAAGCTCAGTGCCGAGCAGGAACAGCAACTCACGAAATTTCCCCAAAAGCTATTTTCCTGAATAATGCAACAGGTATTGAGGGGAGTACAAGCACAATGCTGCAAACAAGTGATGTAAGCTGTTGTCAAAAATGGTTTGCTTTGCTTTTTAAACACACTTATTTTTTTATGCTTTGCACTATTTCAAGAGGGGTATGCCCAGCTGTTTTTAGATAGTTTGTGTCCTGACAAAACTTTAATCCTAAATATGGGTGAATTAAGAAATAATGGCCTTGATCAATGGTTCAGAAGCTCAGTGCAGCCACACCACCAAAGGCATTCAGCCTCTGGGACATTGCTGTGTCGTATCCTTGGCAAACAGACTGGGGACAAGTGACATTACAGGAGCCTTCAGATGAGAACAGCACCAAAGGGGTGGAGAAATCAGCAGCGTTGCTCAAGGTGATGGGGAGGGAGCGTGAAGGGCCCTCACAGGTGCCTTGGGCAGCCTCAGCTCTGCATTAGCGCAGCTCCCTCTCTGCAGCAAGGACTGACTCGTGCTGCTCTGCACTCCCAACACGCCTGGTCCAGCCTCACCCCTGCTCCCCAACACACACTGCTGCCTGCTCCACAATTCAGATTTACACCTTGCTCACCCAAGTGCTTTCCAGCCCCTCCTCCCTGATCTCACCTGTATTTCCCAGGGGTTTTGGAAAGAAACCACACAGCACGATGCCACCAGCTGTAAACAGAGTCACGATGTGCCACTCACATGGTGGCACTGAACACAGGGCTGGTTTTGCCCTCACTGCTGCTGCTAAGAGCCACAGGGTCTATTTTTTTTTTCTTTTCAAACATTTGTAACAGAAAACTAATCGCTCATCCCACTGTTCCTAGTTCTGCTCTTGTCTTGCAAAGCTTCTGGGAGTCGTAGGTATTTTTTACATAAAACAGAGAGTAATCATGAGCAGTCAATAATCAGGAGAAAAGCCACACAGAGGAAACGAAACCAGGTACAAAGCTTAATTATGATGGCAGCAAAAGAGTAGAAAACTACATTTTTTGGTTTTTATAATTAGATGAATGATTTTATGCCTGAGAGTAGAGCAACACAGCTATGCACAAAAATTCCAGCTGCAACACAAGCCTTGGAGCGTATCTGGAACTTGAGGGAACCCAAATTAAGATATTGAGGAGCTGCAGCATCACAGGTACCTGCTTGCAGCCCAATATATACAGAAATACTGTCAGTGAACTACTTGAGGTGTAAAAATTTAAGAATGGATGTAAAATCACACTTTCTCCTTATAAACTGCTGAATAAAGATATCAGGCTCAAGTGCTAAGTTGAGCCATTTTGATCTAGCTAATGGATTTTTTTAAAACAAAAAGTAGGTCAGAAAAATTAACAGAAGGCCTGAAAATCTGTGTCTGAACTTCATGATCAACAAGGTAGAATTAAAATTCTCCTCTCTTCAGTCTGAGAATGGGTTTCTATGAGTGTGAATAACTAGAGAGCACAAGCAGATGGGTGCTGTACATATGTATGTGGAAGGATGCACTTAAAAATGCAATTTTCCTCATGATGTAGTAAAACTTGTTCATGCTACCGCTCAAAGGAATTGCAGAACATCTGGTGAACTACAGCGAGACCTTGTATTTCTTAAAAAAATTAGGGCCATTCTATCAATTATTGTTGAGGAGGGAGCCGATTTCTAGGCCAGTCATGGGGGCATGGAGTAACACAGCAGCTGGCGGGGTCTGTGCCACCTGCCCTTCCCAGCGCTTGCCGCGATGCTGCGAATAAACTACGCGCAAAGTTTAATGGCCCCGAGCAGAAAACGAGCGTGCTGCAGGAAATTTCACGTGTGCGGAGCCCCGCAGACCGCGGCTCTGCTCCTTTTGTCTCCTCGGGCTCTCACCGCACCCTCTCCCATGGCACACACCGGGGCAGGGCAGCATCCCCGCACCTCCCTCCTCCTCCTGCTGCCGCTCCCAGCCTCTTCCCTCCGGATCACGCCCT